TCCGACAGATGCTCCGATATTTGTCTACATCCACGGCGGGTACTGGCAGCACCTCAACAAGGACATATCCTGCTACCCCGCGGGGCCGTTGGTCAAGGCGGGGATACGAGTCGTGGTCGTCGGCTACGACCTCGCACCCGACGGTGAGCGCACCCGGCCCTACACGTGTCCTCGGGAGAGGGGATACAAGCATCATGGAACCCCTATGAACACGGATAGTGATCATGTGACCCTTCAAGGAGGGGAGGCCATAACATTTATACCCCCCACTAGGGCACGTAGCATGTGCACGACCCCTTATTCCCCTTTACACGGAACTGACGGCGGAGAGAACTTGCCTGTTATTGGAACGGCGTAGGTAACTGACCCTTCTCCTTCCAGCCGACATGAAGCGGATCGTGGAGGAGACGAAGCGCGCCGGCAGCTACATCATGGACCTCGCTGAGAAGCTGGGCTCCAGGTGAGTATCGCTGATCCTCGCACACACAGAACGAGCAGGAAAAGTACAGTCGGCAAGTTTGCATGTTTCTAATTACTTTGTTTAAATTTGTATATTTTGGGGCACAGTGGAGTTTGGTTTAGCGGCTTCTCCGCGGGGGGCCACCTCTCTGGGATCCTCTTCGCGTCGGATTGGATGGAGTCGCTGACCCTGCGCCAAGTCCAGCTCGTGCGCGGCTTCCTACCCATCAGCGGGGTGTTCGACCTCAAGCCCATCGCGCACACGTACATCAACGGGCCTCTCAAGATGGACGAGTGAGTATAGCAAACGAGAAACTTAGGGGTAAATAATATTATTTATTTATAGACACAGCGACACAGGTGATCAGAAAAGAGTTATTAACATAATATAGCAGTTAATCAAGCATTAACTAACTACCTTCTGTGGAAGCAAGGTAGGTAATTAAGTTTGTATGTCCCGATGGTCATTAATTCCTTGAAAATGACACCAGACTGTTCAACTTAACAATAAAACATTGAAAAACAAATTTTAATTGGAAAAAATAATGAGAAGTACTTATCTTAGATTTATCCCAACATAAAAATAAACAAAGGAATATTTAACTAGTATCACACACTCATATCTGGAGTACTTTTATATAAGTTTCAAGTTGATATAAGTTTATTTATTTCTTTTAAGTAAAAGTTCAGTCTTATCATATGATAATACTTGCATAAGGAAAAATTATTTTCAGATCTATTTGAAAATATGTATCAGATTACTTTTCCAAGCAACAAGGGCACAAAATGCAGATGCCAAGAACAGTTTGCTAAAAGACACATGTTTGTTGGATTTTTTAGGCAGAATAAGGTCGACATATTGGACTTTGTCTACCTTTTCCAGCTTTTCCACATGCTCCTGAATAAAATGGAGCTCCTTCATTAAACACTTGGTTTGCTTATAAGTTTGTAACAAAATCTGGTAGAGGTCTTCAACCTTGGGGTCGTCTGGAGATAAAGTTATTCTTTCATTGCAGTAAATAGAAGTCGCCCAAATTATGTGAAGATGTTTCACAAAGTTGGCCAAAGAGCGGACAATATCCATTATTTCTACTGCCTTTAAATTATTATTTTGGTTTAAGGCTGGTAGTGAACCAGCACCCCATGGGCGTTGAAAGAAACACTTATTGCCCTCAATGATCCGCTCACGATGAGATGAGAAATAAATACCAAGCTTCTTTAATTCCTCATTTGTAATGTTTAAAAATTTGGCAAGACTCACTTTTTTACTTTGAAATAGCTCTGCTTTCTGCCCTAATCTCATTCCATCAAGAAGTATCTCTACATCCTTATAAAAGCCATCCTGACCAGCAGAGTTGGTACTAGGTAATTCAAGAAGTACCTCTTCAAAGGATGATTTCTTCTGTGTGTAAGACATTGGAGTATCAGCTTCAATTTGAAGATGTTGATCATCAAGCATTTGGATGATATCCTCTGAGCCCTTAGTAATGGCCAAATCTAAAGGCAAACGACCTCGCCTGTCCCGAATATATTTATCAGCTCCATGTTTTAAGAGAATCTGCACAATATTGGAATGATTACCAGAACAAGCCAAATGTAAGGCACTGTAACCATCGTTGTCAAATCTATTGACCTCGCACTTTGCCTTACAAAGAATGGAAACTAATTTTTCATGTCCTCTTGTACATGCATACATAAGAGCTGTTGTCTTGTGCTTATCCATATTATCAATATTTGCACCATGTTTTATGAGAGATTGCGCACAGTTCACAAGCTTTTCTTCTTCAAATGAATTTGAATTGCAAACAGCCATAATAGGTGTGAAAAATTCACAGTCACAATTTGCCTCAGCACCATTCCTTAATAAATAATCTACAATAGAATCCTTGGCATAGCTGCAAGCATACATGAGTGGTGTCCAGCCAGTCTTCAATGTAACATCAGGTGTACCTCCTTCCAGAAGTTTCAATAGCTCAATGATACTATCAGCACGGATGCTTTCTCGAACTGCTGTTTCGTAGTCTTCCATAATTGTAAAACGCTCTGTAACAATCAAACAAAAAAAAAAAGGAATTAGAGGCAAAACATGTATGGTCTAATATTCTCTGTTCTGATTTTCTGTTCAGGGAGGAAGCAGACAAGCACAGTCCAATGAGTATGAATGTAAGATATCGTGATGTTAAGATTCTGGCAATCTTTGGACAGCATGATTCCCCATCATTTCAAGCACAGTCAAAAGATTTCATAGAGGTAAGCTTTGATGTACTAACTGAAAACAGTAGTGACTGTACATAATAGAACATAACATAACTTAAAATGTATACTATTGTTTATTTCAGAAACTGTGCAAAGAAAAATTTGAAGCCAGCTGGTTTGAAGTTCCAGAGATGGATCATTTCAACCTAGTTGAAAACCTGTGTAATTCTGAGTACATTCTTACGAGAAAACTGATCAGTATTATAAAGACAAACAAACTAAAAGAAGTTTGAGATTATTTGTTGGGACTTCAATTTTTTGAATTATATTTTCCATTACTAATTAACATGATGTCATCTCCATAACAAATTAGTAATTAAAAAATGAGTGAAAGTTTTCCAAGTCTTACATTTTAAAAATGTGTGTTGGATCTGTCTGCATACGTCATCAGGAAGAGTGCTTCACCTCAACTAATCTATCATCCAAGGAGGGCTGGTATGTTAAAAGCTTTGAGTATCTCTTGAGAAGTTTCCTCCAGTAACAAGTAACATCTTTCATTTCAAGATGATTCCAAATAAAATTATAGCCCTGTTCTGCAATTTTTCTTGCAATATCTTCATTGTTTCTTACAAAATTAAGCAGTTGCTTGATTTGTTCTTTAGTTTCCCCATTTTCAACAGGCACATAATGTACCCATGGTTTCATGGCTGGGTAGAAAAATTCAATCCACTCATCACCCACATGAAATACAAGGCTTTTACACAGAAAAAGATGTTTCAGACGGAAACTTGCCGCAACTCCCCGAAAATTAAACAAGTACTTGAAACGACAATGTTCTTCAAGAGACACTTCCTCAGCAGGAGCAACATTAAGAGTGTCAGCATTAGATTTCCAGGCTTGATTTTTGGTGTAGGCAGCATCAACCAGACTCGGTTCCTCTCTGGACAGTAATATCAAGGGATCTCTTTCTTCAGTAGTCCTTGATCCTCGGAAAAATGCAACATTAGATTTTTTTTCCCAGCTCCAAGTATCAGATGCTTCCTTTAATGAGTTTCTATGTCTGTCCCAGCGACCCAAGCCAGTGGGGTAGAGCTTGATTGCAGGGCCACCTTCCCAAAAACTCCATGCTGGATATAAAATATCATAATACTCGTCTGTTTTACTGAATGAAAAGACAGGCTGCAATTGGTTGTGATACCTGCTTACTTGAGGCCAGTCTCTTGTATTTAAAATAAACTCTGTATCAGGAATTTTTGATTTCATTTTAAATAGGAAATGCTCTACCCCGGCACACCGTGCTGGAAACATACATGCTTTGGCTCTGTACAGACGATGGTTGATGATTTGATACTTTGTCCCTCTGCTCTCAGCAGCTTTTATCATCTGAGGTGTGATACCATTTTTGAAATTGAGTAAATTTTCCTGGATTACATGGGCATGACAGCTGCAGTTTTTAGCAGAACACTCTTCATAATTTTCAAATGCAATTGATATTTTTCTTTTGAGATCAATCCATTGATCATTCAGCTCTCTTGAATACTTTGATGGTTCGGCATCGTCAACCACCTGTTGGTGACACTCATTGCTCCCATCTCTATTAATTGAGCAAAATTCACCAATGCAAAGGCTAAAGGAGAATCCTACTAGCAGGAAACTTTGGAACCACATAACTCTTCTAGTTATAGCCACAAGCCGGAAAACACTAGACTTGTTTAATTTCTTTGGTCTAGGTTATAGCTGCTACACTTGCCAAAAACTCAGGAACGGAAAATTTCCGCACTTGGCTTGCCATATGAGTAAGCCCAAGTATTTCGTTTTCTCTTCTTCTTTCCCCAAAGAGAGAACTCAAAAAGTAACGCGATGTAAGATAGAAGAATAGAAATCTTCAGATTTTTTGACACACGAAATGTAAACAAGAAATTAACCTCATGGTTGCCAACGTCTCGGAGGAAGTGGATAAAGAGCCTAAGTCTCGACACTTCCGTTAAAATAGTGCCCAAATAGTGTAAAAGCTAGCACTCACATTACGAATGACGTATAGTTTTCACTGCAGTTACTTCAAGATCACAAACCCACGCAACCCACACAAATGCGAGAAATACGAAATATGACCTCTTAAACGAAGAGGTTAGGTTACTACTTAGCGAGCAACAAATTTGATAGAGATAATCCGTGCAGTCGTAAACGAAGTACTTTTAGAATACACCTTCAAGTATTTTTGAACAAACAGAATAACTTACTTTAAAACAGCTAGAGAGAAGTGTTGTCGAGCCGGGGCGAAAGAACAATAACAAAACCAAACCTGCGCGGTAATCCTCGGGCTGGCAAACCGGCGCTTTAGGATGGAATGATGTGGAAGTTTTCGTTGAGTTACAGCATTTTTCAAAGACAATTCTAACTGAAACTATGAACAAAACAAAATTCTGTGGATAGAGACAATTAACTTTTGCACGGTTTAGACTGGCTACGATTGTCATTTATTGGATACGTTCTATTTGAAAATCAGCCAATCAGAGGCCTCGAAAACCCACTAGAACGTATCCAATAAATGACAATCGTAGCCAGTCTAAACCGTGCAAATGCCTCTCAAGCTTCTCAAGTGTCAACAATCAAGATGTAAATAAATGAGCATTATTATGTTGGACAGCATGCAGTTTTCGGTACAGTCACTTGACTTGACAGATGATTCTACGTCGTTTTGCTTCTGCAACGTAGGGAAAATAGTAGTTATATCGATTTTTGATATGGATTTCGTGAAAAAAAGACGTTGACTCAGAGTAGAAGAGGAGGTCTGCAGTCAATTTTGACACCGTCAGTCAAAACTACGCGTTATCCACCTTACAGTTTTACTAACTTGAGGTGTTTTGACACTTCAGGACTGTAGAATTACAGAATGAGTACCAAAGACACTGTAAGTTATTTTTTCCCCCTTGTCGCTTATTTATTATGTTGCAATAATTTTCGTATTTTTTTTATTCACAAATTTGTCTATGACAGTCTGTTTTTATTAAATGTTATCAATCAGCGTAAAATTTTCAATTTCCATCTAAACTTTCTTCAATCTTTGTCAACATTTTTTCATTTATTTCTGGATAAATTCAAAATTAGTTTTGAATTTTCTTACCAGTATGGCTCTGAAATATTTGTTTGTGTATGTTGCAGGATGACTCGCAGACGAGCCACAAAACTCCGCTAGAGAGGTTAAGCCAAGAGGAACTCATCAAAAAGTATCGGCAAGCTATTTTAATTGCTCAAAAAGCTAAGGAATCGAAATCTGGTAAGATAGAGTGGTTTTCCATTTTTGTGTTATCTTCATGCATTGACACTTCTGTAACCATGTGTTGTTTTATTGCTTTTCAATTGCTCTGTCAAAAATGTATTCTTATTACCCCTCAGAGTTTTTAAAACACATTGCGCAGCAAGAAGACCTTGTAAGATCTTTGGAGGAGAAACTTCAGAAATGTGAAAGTGATAAGAAGGCAGTACGTTTCTTTATTTCCTTCATTTGCTATTATTTTCCAGACCTACTGCAGGTCTTCTTTTTATGCATATGTCCTAATTTTATCTCTATGAATTTTATAGGAAGCTGAGTTTCGCTTTAAGTTAGAAGCTGATCTTAAAAGTGCCAGAGAAAGCAAAGAAAGTTCTGTACAGGAGAAACATGACAAGGACTCTGGCAACTCGATTCATGTTGATATCTCAGAAAATGAACAGCTCAAATCCAAAATGGAAGATCTTAGTTCAGAAAATTCCCAGCTTGCATTTGAATTGGAAACATCAAAAGTCAAAATTGTAACCCAAGAAACTGAACTTCTGAAAATTAAAGAAGAATTGGGAGAAGTATCTTATCTTAAAAGCCAATTGGAGAAGATGGTTGAAACCAAAGATAGTGAGACAAAGATTCTACAAGATACTCTCAACACTGAAAAGGAAACTTTTGAAAAATGTCATCAAGAGTTATGTAGCAAATTGAAATACTTAGAAGAAAGTTTAAAAAATGAACAAGAACAAAGAAATAGGGATTTGCAAATGAAACAAGACATTCTAAACCTTGAAGATGTGCTACACAAGAAAGAAGAAGACATAAAGGCACAGGAACAGTGTATTAATGAACAGAAGGTCCATTTGTGCAGACTTGAAATGGAACTTGCTGAAAAACAGTCTCTTTACACTGAGAGCTGTGAAAAAATTATAGGGTTAAGTTCACAGTTGGAAAACTTGAAAGACGTCATAGAATCAAAGCCTGCAGAAAACGAGGTTGAAATATTGACAGCAGAAAAATTGAGATTGGAAAATGAACTAGCAGAAAGAGATAAAAAAAATCATGTGAAAGAGGAAACCTTGGCTCAACTTTCATCAGCACTTGAAGAAATAAAACATAAATTCCAGGAGCTTGAAATAGCATCTTCAGAGTATTCTACTGCAGTAATTCAACTTCAATCAGAGAATGAACTTCTGTCTCAGAAGGTCTCATCCTTGGAATCTGAAAAACGTGCGATCAATTGCCGTCTGGAAGAATGCAAAACAATAATAGAGGATAAACCATTGGCTGACAGTTTGGCTGCAGAAAACTCGAAGCTGCAGCATGAAATTACAATAAAAGATGAAGAAATCGGTCTGAAAGAAAACTCAGTAATTCAGATGAGAACAGAGTTACAGCAAATAAAGGAAGACTTTGCTCAGATGTTATCAGAATCTTCTTCTAAAATAGATTGTTTAGAATCAGAAAATATGAGCCTTTGTCAGAAGATTTCATCTCTAGAAAATGGAAATGAGGAATTAAATCACTCACTCATGGAAAAACTTAATGAGATCAAGGAAAAGGAGGAATTTGTGTCTACCCTACAAGACCAATTGAAGGATGCCCAAACAATAGTCAGAGAAAAGCAAGAACATATAGAAAAATTAATGTCATCAGTAACTGATTTAGAGTCAGAGGTTCAAAATTTTAAAATATCTTCACAGTCACAACAACCTGTTCAATCTACTGAAATATCCACAGAGGAAAAGACCAAATTTGAGAGTGAAATTGTCGTAAGAGATGAACAAATTTCTAAAATGAGTGCAGAAACGTGTCAGATTTTATCGGAACTCTCCAAAGTTAAGGAAGATTTTCTATCTATGGAAACACAAAAGCTAGAAACGCTGCAGAAGTTAGCCGACACACATGATCTACTTGAAATAAAGCAGAATGAAATTGTTGGTCTTAATGAAAAACTAGCAGTTGCTTATCAGTGTGAAGAGGAATTTAAAGAAAAATTACGTTTGGTACAAACCAGTTTATCTGAAAAAGAATCGTTTATACAAGAGCTTGAGCAAGAGATTTCCAAACTAAGAGACGCTGGTAAAATTTCTGTAAACCTTGTTTATGATATTTATATTCTTTTAACTGTTTTCTGCATGAATCCTAATCTATCTCTGTTTGCCTAATAGCTGCTATTGACTCAACAAATACTGAAATTTCCAGTACATTTTCCTTAAGCAGAGCCGAAGAGATGACAAGAATGAAGGACTTGGAAGACTCTTTTGAAGATAAATACACAAAGGTAATTTTTAAATGGTGCGTGTGTGCACTTATTGACTTTACCAACCTTAACTGCAATCTTTGGCTCCAGTTGCGGGTTGTAGCTGTCAAATTAAAGAAACGAGTAACAGATATCACCCAAACGTTAGAAAATGAGCGTTTGAAATCAGCAACAGAAAAATCAGAACTTCAATCGAAACTTGCTCAATTGGCATCTCATGGAAAGACTGTTCAGGTAAAAGATTTGTTTTTTAATCTTGAAAAAAATAACCATGAAAAGAGGCGTAAAATGTTGGAGGTTTTCCTATTTCAGACCCTCCAAGCTGAAGTAGATCGCTTACAAGATTTACTCGAAGACCAAAAAAGGATTCAACAACAATTGTCCAAAGATCTTGAGTCTGCTGTTAAAGAAGCTGCTTCAAAGAAATTTGAGCTTGCTTCTGTTCAAGAGGAGCTGTCACAAGTCATCAATGAGAAAAAGAGGTATTTTTTCCATACTATTATTGAGCTTGCTCTACTTTATTGGTGTTTTGCATTATTTTACCAAAATATATTTAAATTATTTTTTTGTCTTGGTTCAAGCCTGAAAACGTCACTGGCCTCTCTTGAGTCTAGTTTATCACAAACAGGGACACTTAAAAGTGAAATAGAGAAGTTAAGTAAAGAAATTAAGGAAAAAGATCTCACACTTGACATTTTAAAGGATGAAAAGCAAAAACTATCAGAGCAATTGGAAAAAGTCTGTGTAGATGCTAAGAAAAAAAGTGTTTTGAGTTTAGAGATGGCTGATATGGAGGTGAGTTGCTGTGCTATTTTCTTTAAACTGTTAGGTCAAGCAACCTGCATATTTCTTACTCTTAAAATTTTAAAAATGTTCTTGCAGAAATCAGTGTCTGAACTAAACCGGCAGCTATCTGCTGAGCGAGACCGTTTGAAGAAATCTGAAAATGATTTGGAAGAAGAACACTCTTTATTAGTAGAGTTACAAAACCAATGTAAGAAACTAGAAGCCAATTTGCATGTTAAAGAAGAATCTAATCTAGAGTTGAGGGAACAATTAACTGAAGCTAATGGAGTGGTTGAAAAATTAAATTTAATATGCAAAGAGAATCAAGAAACTATTGACCAGCTTTCGAGACAGCTTGAGAGTGAACGAACAAATATTGAGAAACTAAATATACAATATTCAGATCTGGCTGCAAAGCAGGTGCAAACCAATGAGAGTGCAAGGCATCAAATTGAAGCACTAAGCCGTCAGGTAAGTTTTCTCTCTGGTTATCTTTATGTACTCTATGATATTTTTACTGTTAAATGGTTTGATTATATGCAAAATATTATAATATTCTTATATATTTTAAATAGGTTTTTCAACTTGAAGAGCAATGTTCTTCCCTTCAAGATAATCACAAAGCAGTGGAAGATGAACTGGCTACAGTACGGAGAGAATTTGAAAACTACAAAGTACGAGCCCAAAGTGTATTACGCCAGTCAGCCAAACAAGAAGATCGTGTTTTGTCCTCTAGCACTGTACATGATGCTGAAGAACTAGAAGTTGAAGTAGAAAGATTACGAGTAAACATAAGCAGCCTCAAAGAAAACCTCAAGCAAACAATGTATGGGAATTTTTCTATCGAATTAAGTTTAGTCTCCTTTGCTTGTGTCTATGATATCAATTTATATTATCTTTAGGTCCCAACTTCAAGCAGCACAACAAGAAGTTAATGTGGAGCGGGAAGATAAAATACGAGCCACTACGCAGGCCCAGAGTTTTAAAGAATCTTGTGCTCAGGCTGTTGAGCGCCAGAATGCTGCTGAGGAACGTCTTTCAGTGGCTGTGGAAGAAGCAAAGCAAGCAAAACTTCACTCAGATATGCTTGTTCAGTGTTACAAGGTCTGTAGGGGTTTTCCTCAATCACCCTTTCCTGACTAATTTGAAAAGAAAATTACTAATTTAAATCTGTGTTTTTGTGTTTCTCTGCAGCAACAACTAGAAGATCTAAAAACAACCCATCAGAAAAAGATTGCAAGTTTGACTGAACAGATAGAAAATTTGCAAATGTCAATTAAAACTTATTCTACTGCCCCTGCTGAGAGTGATCGAGCACCCAGTGTACAGAGTGCTCATTCCCCTATTGCAGAGTGGACAGCCCAACTTCCAAGCACAGTTCATTCAGACTCTGACTTGGCTATGCGTTTGTCCTCTCTTCATCGTGAAGAAGGAGAGGTTTGTATCTCATTTTGAGAAAATGCACAGAGTAAATGTACACTTGTTTGTTTATAGGTCTCACTTTTTAATTTGTAATCATTCTTCAGGGATCAGAAAGTGTTGATTCATTCCCCTCACGTCGCATTTCTGTTACAACTCAAGACAGAAGACATGAACTAGTTCCTCTCGATAAATTATTGTCTTCAACATCCTACCCAGAGGATGATTCTAGAGGTTTGTTGGCAACTTAGGAGACTGATGACGTTTCCACTTATTGTTGGCATTTTGTTAAATCATGTAAATATACAATTTATTTTTGCATCTAACAGAGCTTGCTAGATCTAACTCTTCGGATTTGAATGTAGACTTGGTTCAGTCCAAACTGAGTGCATGTGAGTCAAGAGCTGTACATTTAACTGCTCTACTGAGTGAAGCGGAAAGCGATGCTGCTCGCCTGTCCCAGCTTAATGCAGTCCTTAAAGAAGAAATCAGAAGACAGCAGCGTAGTGAGGAACGTGCTCAACATGCTCACAACTTGGAGTATCTCAAGAATATTGTCGTAAAGGTGAGTTAGAGTGTTTCTCATAATACATCTTCTGAATGTTCTGTAATAGATGGCATCTATTTATAACTTTCACTTTATATCTTTAGTTTATTACGCTGCAAAATGGTGACGAAAGACAACGCCTTGTTCCTGTGCTCAACACCATATTAAAACTCAGTCCTGAGGAGGCAAGTTTAGTTGATAATGCTGCTAAAGGTCAGTATATTTGCCCTTTTTGAAGTTTCAGATTGGTTTGATCTCTAAAAACATTCTCAAGCATACACATCAAACTTTTTTTTTTGACATTTTCCCCAGGTGCATCGCAAGCAAATTCTACCGGCCGTGGTTGGGGTAGTTATCTTCCTTTGCCGGGATGGACTGGATCATGAAATTGAAGTGGTATAAAAGTTATTAATAGTGTGCCGTGACTTTTCATGTCTGTGATAAATTTCTGCAAATTCGAAGATATTTTAAGGAAGACTCTTTTGAAACTTCTATTAGCTACTTCTATTTTGTTTTAATGTGATACTTTGAAAAGTATTTACATAAAAACAACAAAAAAACAAGGTCATTGAAATTGTTTTTGTGCTGCACTTCAACACTTCCAATTGTTAACTTTAAGGGTCATCTGTTATTGTTTTGGGTCTGTTCTGTGGTTTTTATATTTATATTGATAATTGCTAATTTTTATTGAGGGATGACACTAGTACAAAATCAAATTAGTTCTGAATCAATAATAGTGTTTTTTCCCTTCTGATTTTGATTATCTTATTCTTTTATGGAAGGTTGAGGATATGATGACAGTCTTTTAGGCCGAATACCTCTCCAACTCTCAAAAAGAACCTATGTAAGTTGCTCTATTTGTTCCATCAATGAACTGTTAACTTTGCCGTCTTCGGTTGCACACATTGTGATGTGTATGGTCTAATAAAATCTGTTATTATCGAGGAAATCAACTTATGTGTGTGGGCGTGTTTTATCTCTAGTTGTGGTTGTTGAAACGTGCTGTCGTCCAGGTGTCAATAAACGAAGCGATGCCATATCGACTTTGGCGGTTCGTCAGTCATTGATCCTCCTTCCCCCTGGACGTTGGGACGTCACTCGGCCATTATATTAGACCGCGGCGCGGGCATCGCGTCGTCGCAAACAATTATTTCTCCCTCGCTAATGGTCATTGGGTGGGGGGCTCACTGTACTACTCACGACTGGGCTACGACGTTGTTGTCGTTACCCCCTCCCACCTCTCCATCGACCCGGCACTGCCCCAACCAGCCCCCGCCCGCCCCTTCCCCTAGAAGCGCCGGCGCCAGCGGCCGCGGGGGGAAAGGGAGTCGAGTTCTCTGGAAGAGTCGAAGGTCAGGGGTAGTCGCGACGCCGCCGCCGAGAGTGGGAGGGAGAGAGGAACTAGAGGGGCCGCCGCCGCCGCCGCCGAGAGTGGGAGGGAGAGAGGAACTAGAGGGATGGGGGGCAGGGCCGGCAGGGCAGGGGTGTTGGCGTTGACATTCAAGCCTTTGCGAGTAGGCGTGGCGCTGGTGAACTTGGGGTGTGTGGGAGTGGGAATGGAGTTGGTGGCGCTCACCCAGCTCGCCGGGCCGCAGCCCCCTCTGCTGCCTGCGAGGTAGGCAAGGTCGCCTCCCGCCCCGCCCGGCTGTCCGCCTGGGTTGCCTATGCCGTAAGGCGCTCAGCGAGGATAGCTCTGGCGGCAGGGGGCGACCTCGGGAATTTACACCCCTCCCTTACGTCAGGAAGGGGAAAAAATGGAAAAACGGAAGATGTATCCGGATTAATAAACGCCTGTCAGATGGCAGATAGGCGCGTCCTCGACCATCTCATCAGTCAGGAATTTACTCAATAGTGTAAGATCTTGCTGATGAGCACCTCCCGACACCTTTCGAGCCACTGCTCCACCACGCTCCTTTCCGAAAACTTCCCTGTCTACATGAACAGCCGTGACACACGCTGCACTAAAGTCATCCAGATCCTGCTTGCCCAGGCTCTACCGTCACCCGCACCGCCCAATTCCCGGAGACCGCGTGCCCACTCGAACCACTGGAAGGCGTTCGAACGGAAAGCGCCGCGCCACTGGCGGCCCACCTCCGGCCGCCTGCGAGGTAGGCAATGTCACCTCCCGCCACGCACGGCTGGCCGCCCGGGTGGCCTATGCGCTCTCCGTAAGGCGCTCAGCGCTCGGCGAGGACGGCTGGCGGCCGCCTGCCTCGGGCTCGGCTGAAGAGGCTCTTTAGGCTCGGCCGTTCAGAGTGTTTGCAGATCTGCTCGCGGGATGATCCTTATCCTTATCGCTGGGCCGCGAGTTGCGACTCGGGGCAGACTTTTCCATCACGAGGAGGTCCTGCGGAGGGCAGCTGCGGTCGCGCCCCTGGGCGGCTCTGTACTCTTACCTGGCTCCTCCGCCCTCCCCTGGCGATACCCGTTGGAGAGCAGCCGGCTGCCCAGGTTACTGCCCACCTGATTGGCGTCCTGCTGGAGCACACCTCCTTCTCGCAGTTTCCAGGACGATCCGGGCCCTATAGGCCTGGGAAAAAAATAATAAGTGGCAAGGTGGCAGTGGGGTGGCAATGAGGTGGTTTTTAAGTGGCAAAGTGGCAGCCTAAAGCGGCAACAGGGTGGCAACCGCCCAGCACCCAAACAAAGTGCTTTCGCACTTTGGCAACTCCAGGAGAGCATTCCGAGGAGCACACGGCGCACCTGATCACGCCACGGCCGGCCCTGCACCGCCACACATACACACACCCACTCTTAAGCGAAGTGCACACAAGCGTCAAGGGGGCGGCGGGGGCACGGGCACATAGCGATAAGCTGGTCGGGGCGCGGCGGGCCCCTCGAGCACAAAGCAGAGGAGCGGCCGTCTCTTGCCTCCACGACGTCAGTCAGTCGCCGCAGCCCTGCAGCCATACTATATTTTCCTCCGAGGGGTTGTGCTGTGGGCCATTTAGGGGGCAGTGCGTCGTCGACCCTACGATGCGCTGAGGGGCTGCTGGGCGGATAGAGGGCTGCTGTCACGCGCGAGGACCGAGCTCAGCATCGTCCGGAGGAAGCAAGTACACCTGGCCATCGGTGGAGTCGGGGGCGCACGGGGGTCGTCGCGGAGGCCGAGGAGGGCGCGGGCAGGGCGGGCGGAGGGCGGAGCGACCCGGGACCCGGAGCCTCGCCGTCGAGGGCCAAGCAGGACAGGCGGCCGTCGCGGCACCTGGGAGGATGTGTCTGCTCTGGAGGACGGGTCTCCGCCGGGGTGGCTCCCGGTGGACCCTGAACCGCTTCAAGACGGACAGAGGGCGGTGAGCAGCGGAAGCCGAGCGCCGCGGGGTGCAAGGAGCCGCAGCGGAGAATCGTCGAGGAGCAGAGTTGGCACTTCCACAACGTCCACGACGTCCATACAGCGTCCACAACGTCGACGGCGTCGACGGCCAGTTCGGCGTCGACGCGAGAATCAGGTTCAGAAGGTAAGCAGCGAGGTCAAAGTAGATTACAGGAACTGTTTGTAATTCCTAGACGCATGTGGCATAGCGTTTTTCGCCACAGGGCTTAACGGCCGGCCTGGCGCCCTTCGCGTCTAGCTCGACATCAGAGCGGTGCCCGCCGCCAGCCCTCGAGGCGACGGGACGCGGCCGCCAAATAATTAACTTCCCTGCTTATTGTTGGCGGCCGATCAGAGCAGAAAGTACCGGTCGATAACCACACTCCGCCCCACATCCGCCCTGCTCTCTGGCCGCCGGTCACCGCGGGACAGTGCGGGGGAGTGGCGGGCGCCGTGCGGGGGTGTTCACGCTGCGCCGCGCTGCTCGCCGGCCGATGCTCTCCGCGGACCTCTCCCGCGGGCGCTTTTATCTGCTCCCGGCTGCCCCCGGGGGCGGCCCGAGCCCGAGGCACCCGTGGATCTGGAGCTCAGGATGGGGGTGGGGGGAGAACAACCGCAGATAGCATCGCCCACCAACATAATAAACCCTCATTTGGTTCATTTTCTGTGATTGTTTGTAATTGGAAACAGGCGGCCCTCTTTTGTACAAGCTAGTGCCGTGATAGCAAAAGAAACAACCTAGGAGGCCATGGCCTCTGCAGAGGCACGGAAGGGCTGGAGAATGTGACATTGTGGAGTTGTAGGGGAGAGAGGGGGGGGGATTACGAATAGCAGAATGGAGAATTCGCATTATTGCGACTCCGGCGTCAGTCCATAGCGGGCGCGGGACACGTCAGTGCGGAGCAGGGCCACAGCAGGGCCACAGCAGGGCCACAGCAGGGCCACAGCAGGGCCACAGTAGGGGCCACCACTGCGCAGTGCGCACTCCGCTCAAGGGCGTTGAGAGACCCGACCTTGCCCCTCCTCGGCCTTGCCCCCCGTATAGAGGTTGAGTCAGGGTCAAGTCTAGCGCCATGTATGACCCTACAGTCGAAGGGTATGGAATTTCTTCTTGTTCCCACTCCCACTGCCTTCGACACTAGCCTTTGTCCCCCCCCCCTCCCTCCCCAGCGCCGCACGCGATGGGTGGGGTGCATACCCAGCTGGCGCCGGCGCGTCGCTCGGCCTGCTTCCCTCTGTATGCCGGAACACTAAGCCGCGGGACAACC